CCTTGATCCTTCGTCAGTTCGTTGTAGCGCCGAGGTTCCCGACTGTACTCTCAAGGATGTTATTTTATCAGCTGGTTATATTAAAGATTAGTCATACAACTGACTGAACTTTCTAACTGTACAAACATTTGTTTTTATAAAGACAAAGACTTGGTTTTATCAATACTAAGGGAGCGATTGTTTATTACGACCCGGGGGCAGAGGGTTTTCAGAAAATTGTGTTATAACAATACTTAACCCACCCCCCCCCCTCCACAAAAAAAAGAATTTTCATATGAAAATTGTACCCCTTTCCTTTTCCAATAATAGGTTTTTAAATGCACCCCATCCCCCACAGATAACCCGTCCATCCTTGGACACCAACTTCATAAGCTATGGGATAACGGTGTCTAGGCAGGTAGAAATGGTTGATAGGGTTCTAGGGTAAGCTTGGTGTGAAGTGGGGGCATGAGAAAAGGTGTGAAGTTCAAGAGAACCAAACATAGGGAAAACTATTTTAGATCTTGGGCGCTTTCCATTCAGCCCAAAATTCCGGAAATTTCGATTAGAAATCAAATGGAACTGACCATTTCGATTCGGTCCGACCGGAATATTCGGGACCACCTTTGCAGGTGGTTCACTTTCACCGGTCAGCTCATTTTTTTTTGGTCGGACCAAAATGTCCTTTTCCATTTGACAAAATTGTTGTCCTCAGTAACGCTCTTTTGCATTCTGCTTACAAGAATAACCAAACCAAACGCGCGGTGGCTTGGGCCGGGTCTGAGCAACCGGAGTATACTGTTCCGTTTCCGAAATTTCAAACCGAAATTGGATGTGTTGAATAAAGCGTTCCTTGACTCCAGCTGTGTCTTGGTTATAATGAAATTTTTCGGAGTCACCTTCTTACAGAAAAGAAGAAACTGCAGCAAAACCGAGCGGTTCGATCTGCTAAAAACTTGCAATTTGAAGGAAGAAAGAAAGGACGGCAAGAAAAAGGAGAGAGAAGATCTTTACCAGGGCATAACGTCGAACACAAACGCAGGCTTCAACTAGAAAACGAGTTTCAACGTTGCATTAACGAATACAAACTTTAATTTTTCATTTGTTAAAAGTTATTATTTTAAATGCTACAATAAAACTCAAACGGTGATCAATTTGTGTACAAGGGGAAGTGTAAAAGGGTCATATAAAAGAATAAAAACAATCAGTACAAACTCCAAAACCTCTTGACGTATAAAAACTCAAGGGTTCAATTCAGAGCTATACTTCACGATTAAAACACAAACGAACAACAACAACAATAACAAAACACTTTTCATTAAAATTGTCTTAATTCCCTTCCAAACACTGTTTTGGCCTTGAGACCACTCTAAAACGAGAAAAAAGGAGGTTTTTAGCTTCTCATACACGACGGGTTTACAAGCTCAAGAATGGCCGCGGTATTGACTGGAAAGCAAGCTTAAAAGAATCACACACGTCGGATTACATGTATAGCTCAGAAACGAAATTACTGAAACCGTGACACCTGATATTCGTTTCCGGCAGAAGGCTTCGAGTTCGGGATGGCTGAAAACGCAATAGTGTGGACAGGCCAAAAAGTCTATTACATGCACCTTTACGCACGACCAGCTAATTTCTTCACCAAGCAAAAAAGGCCTCGTTTTAATTGAGTAAAGTTTAAAGAACACATACATAGTAAAATGCAAAGGATATTTGTTTAAAGACCAGACTTTTTGGTGAAATTAGCGACACTAAATTTAACCTAAGTATGTTCAAATTTACTATTAAATGCACATTTTAACTTATTTTGTACGTACTCTGAACGCTGGTCTGTGAAGTGAATTGACATCAATTGCCTGATCAGCGTGGATGGTTTTTTTTATATAGTATCCTTTAATAAGGCTGTTCTATTTTTATTATTTTTATTTTCTATTTTTACAATAACTGCATGTATCAAAATAAATATCACTGTAATGCGTAATTGGTCATCATATCATGTAAAAATCAGTAATTGATTTCAACTATCAATATAATTTTATCTTTATAACTTATAAATTTCGGTCTAAGAGTCTCTTTCCAAGTATATTTGGTGACTCTATTATCCTAGCTAGCCCTTGCAAGTTTCTTCTTTTTTAAAGCGTTGTGTTTCCTTGGCCGCCTTGGGTGATCCTAAGACTACGGTGATACAAGTTACAATCTTGCACGAAATACAGATAGAAAATTTAGCCCCCCGCGATTTGGCTTTCGTGCGGCTTGATCCTTGATTTCGGGAGTGTGGGTGTTTGCTGTTCCATTTTATTCTGTCCAAGATTGTAGCTTGTAAACAAGCCCTGCAACTAGTTAAAATTAAAGCAAACGTCATATTCAGTAATCAAACATCTGTCTAGTCGCAGCTGGGTATCTCCCAGGAAAAGGATTCCAAGCAATCATGTTCTTTCCAGCGCGTGAGACAATGAGCTGACAGGTTTCCTGCCATAAAACAATCCCCATCTCTGCTCTCCATCACGGCATCTTGAAAGCTTGTTTGACCAGCTGCTCAATATAGAACTATAGTCTTCCTCTGAGAAGTCCTATATTAACCAACAAAGGAAAACGTATTAACCAACAGATTTCAAATGTTAACTACTTGCTAGCAAGTCCGACTGAGAGACCTTTAATTTACTGGCTGTTAGCAACTATTAGATGAGACTGAGTATAATCTGAAGAATAATTCTGAGGAGGGTGTTACAGATGTACCTCGGCGAATGACCTCCTCGGTGATTTGCATACATCTTCAGATCATACGAAAGCCGAACTCAATAATAGTTTGATTATTCGTTCAAAATAATTCATACCCAAAATCAAAGGGTGCCTATGGCTAACTCGTGAATAAAGTATTTTAGAAATGAAAGCTAATAGTGAACATGCAATTAGTCTACCGGTATAAAGTCTGTCAAAACATAGGTCATACTATACAAGATCTCTCTTCCAAAGCTAGGGCCTTGTTTGCCGGTTTTCGTTAAACACACATTAGTATAAATCATATTTAGATGGAACTTGGACTTTTCTGGCTATTCCAGGGAACATATGTGACAGTATGTGCTTATCTATACGAGGCTGGACCCGTTTCGGAGAGAGTGCATCATTGTTTACTCACTGTTGTGTTGAGTTTCCTGTTTTAAGACAGTGGCTCATCCCCATTTTACTCGTTCTGCGAGTTTAGAAGGAAAAGATTCTTGCAGAACCATGGACCAGTACGACTTCATATGGCAAGAGTCACCTCTTTTTTCGACACGGAATATTTTTGGAAAGCGTTGGAGCTACAACTATTAGGCAAATCGCCAGGCGAATGTGACGGGCTTTAGCGTAGAATATTTTGGGGGTCAAAAACAAAAGAAAAATCGATAAATGTCCTTTCAGTGGAGTGGACTCTCAAGCTTCTGGCCACACGTTCCGCAATGTTCGAAAACCATTCCTTCAAGGGCACTGGCAGATACAAAACAGCTTATAAGATAACCTCCCCTCAACTAGCCAGTACACCGTCTTACCTTCACAAACTCATCTTTTGTCTTCTCGAAATTCTTTAGTTCGCATTCAAGGATTTCTCCAAACTGCTTTGTCCTATCTTCAACTGACACTTCCTCAAATCCTACTTCACGAAGGAGCTGTAACAAAAAAATCCAAGCGATAATTAGTCACGATAGTTCGTCACGCATTCCACGTACGAGGCTAACTGGGAGAATCAGAGGGGTTAGTGACTCACCTGTCCCTAGCTCTCTATATCAATCAAGTGATACTGTCGTTGTTCTTGGTACGTTTTAAATTGTTCTGAATGTTCGCCAGGACAACAGCAATAATCTGTGATGAGCAGCTGACCTCCGGGCTTTAACCAGCGCTATTAGAAATGAATAAGTTGAAAAGTCAAAATCGTCTATCGAACTTAGTAAGTGAGAATTTTTATCTCTTTTTTATTAGACTTGCGTTTATTCTTTCAGATCGAGCTATCTAGAGTTATACACAGCAAATCAACACGCCAGATAACGACTGGCCTTTAACGGTTGAAATGTTGTAATCAGTAGTAAGATAAATGATAATCAAAGCTATTACTTTAAAACACAATGGATAATAAGTTTGTGACAAATTTTGCGTATTTCTATCTTGTAATTTCCAGGGCAGAATACTATGGTTACGTTCACATGGCAACGCACGAATTTTCAACCGGTTGAAAATTGGTGCGGATAGCTGTTTCGTTCACACTGAACCATTCTAACCATACCATTTTGCTTGTTCCTTGGCAAAAGTCTGATTTTTAGTCGGATCAATTTAGGTTTGTGAAAAACTGCCCACCTACCCCTCCCCTAAGCCAACATTAGCACTTACTTCTCGTTTAGGGCAAAATGTTGGCTTAGGGGAGGGGTAGGTGGGCGTTTCCCAGAAACCTAAATCTACCAGATATTTATCTTCAAATAGCAGTTGTCGTTTGTCGAGTTGTATTTTTGCTTTTCTTGCTGTGTTTTTAGCCAGAAGATCAACTTTCTCTTCTCCGCAAACGTGTGAATTTTTCGCTGTTTTTCCCAAGCTCTACCAAAACAGCTGACCTAACGCAATCTCGTCCCTTTTTCTGGTGATATCCTGAACGGTCCCGATGTGAACGAATTGTCCGATCACATTTTTTCCAGGTAACTCTGACAGAACGTTCTCAACTTAAGG